TTTTTTATTGTGGCAGTGCCATAACAAAGAAACTAGAAACTATGAAAATACCACTGGATCTAGTCTAGATGACAAAAATCAGTTGAACTGTGTAGCCAAACAGGAGAGGAAACCTTGGCTGTAACAGTGCTGCTGTTTAATCTGAGAGCCTTTCTAACATTAGCTGAAGAAATTTGATAGATTTGTGATATACTTCTCATATATACTCTCATCTCTTTTAGGTAGCTCTCCCTGATTAAGGCAAACCCGAAATGTCTATTTTGAAATGACAAATAGGATTTTTTTATATTAGAGCAAAATGATTTTGTCACGCTGGAAATTTTTTCTAGCAGAACTGTATGGGTAGCTGCTATATATGCTCCTTTAAACGTGGACTAGATACATTTCTTTTTAAATTTCCTGTCACTATAGTATTGGCCCTGAATGTCTCGAGTCACTAAGATGAACATAAAATAGATACAAGTTTAGAATACATTGCATAAACAGTGGCCCACAGAAGTACAGTAAGAAACCGAAACAGTAGCTGGAACAATGCAGTTGTCCAGCTGAAGCGTTCAGAGAAAAGAAGCTGCTTGCTGTTATTGTAGATTATTCACTGAACTGTTTTGAAGAAGAATGAGCTGTGTGAGATGAGCTGGTGAAGGCAGAGGGATGGGAAACATAGAATGTACAGTCTGTAATTCAGAACTGAGCTGCAATAATTGTGCTATTTTTCACATTTGATGCCATTTTAATAGTTCTATGAGAAAATATTTTTATAAGCAGTTCTTGACGTTAGCTCGTTTGGTTTTTTTCAGTTGGAAATTAATCTGGATTAGATAAAAAGCCAAATGATACCTCCCTTACGCTGTCGTTGGCCATAAGGTGATGCCAGTGTGGAGGGGAAGCAGTAACTGATTATCACAGTTTGTCATTCCTAGGAAACCAGAATTCGAGCAGTGGATAAGGACTCCAAGGGAAGAACTGATAACTTCTCTGTTATCAACCCCGTGTCTGGAGAGGCTGTGACGCAACTTTTTGCTACTGACACTAGGGAAGAATTCCGTCAGTGGATAGAGGCTTTCTGGCAGCACTTCTACAATCTGAGTAAGTAAGCAGGCAGTGCTGGCAGCGAGCCCTCCGAGCCGGGCGTTGTGTAACATCAAAGGGACCTCTGAACAATCTGAACTGCAATTGCCTCATAAGCCTTTGTTTGCAACCATGAGAAGGAAAATGTTCTTTGGGATAATATTGGGTGGTGGTCTAAGCCGTTGGAAGGCAAATATTTGATTAAATCAAAGTCCACCTGTTCGGTCTGGGATTTTGCAGGCAGCCAGGAGCAGGATATGTCCAGCAATCTTAAAATAACTTGGTCTCTTTTAGCAGTGTTCTACATAATTTTTTTAGGGACTGCTAAATTCTTACCATCTCTTGCACCAGTGCAGTAGGAAGAGTCCACCTCTGCCTGGGCATCTGACCAGCGGTGTGTTGGTTTTGTGAGGTTCTGCAAAGAGGAAACCTTTGGGCTTGGAAGCCTTAGTGGAAAGTGGTGCTGGTTTCATCTGGGGCCTTGGCTAGGATGCAGAATCAGCCAGCCCTTGCAAGTAGGCACACGTATATGAGATTTCCTTGGTCAGCAGTAGTATGGATGAATTAAATTGCAGTTTGTTGCAATAAGAATTACTTGATTCTGTTGTAATTCTAAGGTTTTGATGCCCCTTGTTACAAGGTAATATGTGTACCTAGCCACACTCCCATCTAGTCATGCAAACACATTCTGCTTACTTGAATCCAGTAAAAGCTGTACCTGAGGCTTGTAACAGATGATATAAATGAGGTGATAAATTGATTCCCTGATCCTTTGGCTGACCCCTGGAACAACACTGTTTGTACATGAGAGGAGAAACTCATTTATTGGTGTAAACAGTGGAACGATATTGAAGTAGTATACTGCGTTGCTTGTTTAACACCAAATATTTATTTTAAGAACTATATAGATTTATTTGTCTTCATCTTTTTACTTTGCTTTAGTAGTTTGATTCACAGGTTTATTAAGGGTAGAGAACAACTGTCAGTTATTATGCTGTCATTGACAAGGTATAGTTGGTTCCTGATAGTTTTATCAGGTCAGAAAACAGAACCAGGTCAATTAGTGAAATGCCAGTCTTTAGTCAGAGGCCACACCAATAAAGTCAGTGAATTGAGGTTGTGGAAACTAGGTATTGTAGTTCATATTTCTAGTCCTTTCTAGCTCTGATTTACAATGAGAAAAGACTCTATCAATTAAAGAAACACACCAAGCAAAAACTAGGGCATCGTCTTTAAATTAGCTGTAGAGTGGGGTGAAAGAACTACTTCTTATTCATTATAGATAGAATACCCATGGATTTTTTGAGACATTTTCCTTAGATTCAGAAAAAATGGGTCACTTGGCATTTAAATGCCTTTTTTCTTCCTTTTTTTCTTCCCTGGTTCTAAAATTCTCTTAAAATTAACGTGCTCAGGAAACTTGGAATGATTGGTATGAACAAAGTAATTTTACTGTGTCTTGTTTTCCTTAAGGTCAAAATCTATTAATAGAAACAGAGGTTTCCTTGTCTGCTTAGGGATAAAAGGCGAGTTATCCTCTGTTAAAGACAGAACGTTCCTGTACTATAACTTTGTAACATAGTTGTATAACATCCAGCCTGCCATATATTGGCGGTTGTCCCTGATAACTTCATGAAGCTTACCCAAACTTAAATATTTTTTTTTTTTAGGATTTTGTACTGTGGAGATTTGAAGGCAAATTACGATATTTAACCTTCACTTTTGCTGGGATTCTTAAATTAAATTACATCTTACGACCTTTGTGCTAAGAGTTAGAATAACTACAGACTTGAAAATACAAACGCATCCTCCGC